ATCAAACCTTTGCCTGAAAAGGTTAAAGTCATCAACTCATATCCTAAACCTAAAACAGTTAAGGAACTAAGGAGGTTTATTGATATGATTAATTTTTATCGAAGGTTTTTGCCTAACACGGCGGAGCATCAAAGCTTACTAAACGAACTCCTGAAGGCTAATGTGAAGGGAAATTCACCTGTCAACTGGACCACGGCAAGTAACGAAGCATTTGAGGCTTGCAAGCAAAGCCTTAGTAAAGCTGTGATGCTGTCTCACCCTGTACCAGATGCTCAATTGGCCATTTTCTGCGATTCTTCCGCCCATACTGTGGGGTGTGCGTTGCAGCAAAAGATAGGTGATAGCTGGCAGCCTTTGGCCTTTTTCTAAAAAAAAATTAACCCCTGCTGAACAAAATTACAGTGCCTACGACAGGGAGTTGACAGCAATATATTTATCGGTAAAGTACTTCAAACATATGTTAGAAGGTAGACAGTTTACCATTTTCACAGATCACAAACCACTCACTTTTGCATAATCAAAAACCTGACAAATGCTCTCCCCGCCAATTTCGTCACTTGGAATACATTGGGCAGTACTCAACTGACATCCGCCACATCTCTGGACAAGGTAATGTGGTAGCTGACACCCTCCCCAGAATTGAGACGATTACCGTTCCATTGGACTATCAGGCATTAGCAGACTCGCAGAGCAAAGATGAAGAGGAAGAGTTAATACGTCACATACAGTCTGATTCCAGCCTGAAACTCTGACAGGTCCCAATACCAGGAACACAGGTTTTGCTTTACTGTGACATATCTACTCCCATCCCTCGTCCCTTCATCACAAGGCCATTTCAACAAACCGTTTTTAACAGTTTACATAATCTTTCTCACCCAGGTATTAAAGCTTCATTGAAACTTGTCAGTCAACGTTTTGTCTGGCCTTCAATGAACTCTGACTGTCGTCGATGGGCCCGTTCTTGTATGGCATGCCAAAAGTCAAAGATATCACGTCACAACTGGACTCCTGTAGGTATGTTCGCTCCTCCATCTTCCAGGTTTGAGCACATACACATTGACCTTGTTGGTCCGCTACCTGTCTCCGAAGGTTACAGGTACTGTTTGACCTGTGTTGATCGTTTCTCAAGGTGGCCAGAAGCAGAAGCAGTACCAATCGAAAACATAGACGCAGAAATAGTAGCACGAGCACTTTTTACCACTTGGATTTCAAGATACGGAACACCACTACGAATTACAACAGATCAAGGTCGGCAATTTGAGTCAAGCCTGTTTAAACACCTAGGAGATTTGTTAGGTTCGACTCGTCTCAGAACAACTTCCTATCACCAATCGTCAAATGGACTAGTTGAACGTTTTCACCGTCAACTGAAGGCAGCCATCAGATGCCACGTAACAGCACGGTGGACTGAGGTATTGCCCGTCATACTTTTGGGAATACGGACAGCATGGCGTAATGATCTACAAGATTCTTCAGCTGAACTCCTGTATGGTCAACCACTTCGCCTACCTGGAGAGTTCCTTACACTTAGCGATTCCAACCATGAACTTGACCCACAAAGTTTTGCCAAAGATCTGCGTCAAAATTTCAAAAACTTAAGACCAGTTGATGGAACAAGACATGGAGGTAGGACGCCATTCGTGTTCAAGGATCTCAACAAATGCACTCATGTCTTTGTACGTACCGACATTTCTAAGGGTGCACTCGATCCCCCCTACTCAGGTCCTTAACTCGTCATTAGAAGATCTGACAAGACTGCAGTTATTCGGATGCGAGGCAATGATGTAACCATTTCAATGGATCGACTTAAGCCAGTCTATTCCTTACAACTCGACCATGATGATACCAGCGTTTCCAGAGACACCATAACTTCTACTCCTCCCTTTTCTCATTCTGACATTCAACAACGAGGTACCTTGACATCTAAACCTATTCTGCGATCTACACCATTAACTACGCGCTCTGGGAGGCAAGTTCATTTTCCAGTACGGTTCCAGAGTTGACTTTTTTTCGTGTTTGCTCAGCTACACAGCTCAACCACTGGCAAGGGGGTACTGTAGTACCTGACTACTTACCTGTATATAAATCTTCATTTAACAGATGATATTTATTTGTTTACTAATTCATTCAATTATTATTGTTCACTTTATCTTTTTACTAAATACACATATTTTTACTCTTGTCTAGCATTTGTGAGTTCACAACTTCAAACAGCTCACTAAGCTTTTGGTATATTTGGTCTTTCTAGAAAAAAATAAAAAAACTGAAAAAAGCCAATAAAATCTTTTTAAGTTTGTATAACTCAGAAAAAACTTACCTGAGACCCGAAAAATTGTTATGTTTTTATAGAGGTGTGCTTCTTTTGTGTATAAAACATTAAAATATGATGATATTATAATTTTTGAAATTTGTATGATAGAAATCACAAATGTGATGGTCAGGGACAAGCGGTACGGTCGTGAATTGTCTGGAATAATCTAAATCTTTCTAAACAATCCTTCAATTATACTGTTAGTTATAATAAAAATATGTGTTTCAATTGAACTAAACTGTCCAATTTACAATAATATTTAAGTTATTGTTATGACCAAACACAGTATAATCCATAAGGCTGGATTGGTCGTGAAAAAACCCGCAATGGTCGTGAAACTTTGGTCGTGACATTACGTGTTATTTGGCGGTAGCCCTGCACCTCATGTTCGAGGATACAAAGTGGACTTCTAGGTTAATCTAGCAATTGAAATATATTATAAACAAAAATTAACACTATGTCTACTTCATCGAATGACTATGTACGGTCATGGACACACAAAAATTACAAAAAACACAAACTTGCCTTTATTAATCTTGTAAATCCTCCTTTCAACTCGAAACGACCGGCACTACCATCATGACATACAACCCGAACTAGTCTCTAAAACCAACTGACTCCATCGACGCCAGGCTTGCCACTGTCGTACTCCAAAGTTGCAAATTTTTCCCTAATGGTCGTGACGTCAAATCGAGGGACAGACCTATTTAGTCATGGTAGTCAGTTTGCAATGAAAACAAAATTATCATATGCTCCTTTTTCGTAAGTTTAATAACTATTGATGTAATAAAAATATGACATTATATATTTTGGCATGAATAATTATTCTAAAAAGAGCATGAAAGTGGCAAATTGTACCCTAGGTACACATACGGTCGTGAGTTTCGAGACTTTAAAAATACAAAAAAATATACCTAGAACCTATTTAAAGCCAAATAATTGTGTGTAACATGTTGCCCTCGTCCCAAAAAATATTAAAACACATAATGATAAACTACATATTCAGTATCTACGAAGTAAAATGCCAGAGACATAAAAATGTACGTTTCAAAATATTCACTCTACAACGGTACTTCTTTCACCATTTCCTATGTCGTGGGTACATTTCCTTCCCTTCTCATAGCATTTCAGTATTGCAGATACATATTAATCTAACTGCTACAAACGGTTTCCAGTTCCAACTCTCCACACTGCTTTCCTTTACTACTTCCTTCACCTCTTCCTACGTCGCGGACCTGTTTCCCTCCCTTCCCATAGCATTTTAGGATTGTAGATACCTTAATCTAATCGTCATAAACAGTTCCCACACTCCGGACTGCTCGCCTTTACTACTTCCTTCACCACTTCCTACGTCGCAGACCTGTTTCCCTCCCTTCCCATGGCATTTTAGGATTGTGTGATTTTAGGACTCGGTACAAGACAACAGCGCAAGTCACGTGACACAGTTAGGTGCACGCGCAGTCTCCCTGAGACAAGCAGGCGCGGCGAGCCGGCGAGAGTAGAGTAGTGTGTCGTGCGTGGTCCCAGCAACAGTTCAACATTCGGATAAGTAGTAGCATTAAGACTATGAGCAGTTAATTATATAGGGGTTGGGGAAGGGTGTAGGCAAGGGCAAACTTATTTTAATTATGTAATTTATTAGGTTCGACAATGGTCGTGGTCTGGCAATCAATATCCCAAATTTAGAATTCACATTTGCTAAATCTAGTTACTTTTCACGAATCAGAATAAGTCCAGATATATAATTATTTCTCTGTTCACTATATTATAATTAGATATATTAAATAACATAAAAGCTGGTTGTGATATGCAGCTAAGGTAATATTGTGCACTTTGACGAGGTAGCTAACTTCCTTGCAGTAGAGTTGAACGACAGGAAATGTGCGTGATTTGGTAGTGGCAAGAGGAAGGTACCTATATAGGGCCCAGGTATCTTAATTTACACTCATACTACTCCACATCACCACAAATGTAGATACCTTAATCTAATCGTCATAAACAGTTATCACACTCCAGACTGCTCACCTTTTCTACTTCCTTCATCACTTCCTACGTCACGGACCTGTTTCCCTCTCTTCTCATAGCATTTTAGGATTCCAGATATATTAATGTAATCGTCATAAACAGTTCCCACACTCCGGACAGCTCGCCTTGACTACTTCCTTCATCACTTCCTACGTCACGGACCTGTTTCCTTCCCTTCCCATAGCATTTAAGGATTGCAGATACCGTAATCTAATCGTCATAAACAGATCCCACACTCAACACTGCTACCCTTGACTACAATGTATCGAGTAATCTTCAGTACAATCTTTGCTCAATAGTAACAACTGAGATTTTGATGCAAGCATATATACATACATACAAGCATACATTGCTCATTTTTGAGTATAGGATTAGTTTAACGAGTACTTAGGTTTGCTGCAACAGGAAGGATAAAAAGGTGTTTTTTGTAAAATTTTAATAGTTTAGTATGAAATGAATGCATTTTCCAAATTTAAACAAAATATGCTCATAAACAAGCAAACAACAAGAGTTTACAATTTTCTCAATAAGGATAACATGGGAATTTACAATTTTTTGGAATTTTGTCCATAGCCATTCGGCGCATGATAACGCTTCAATAGACTTAATCATTTAGTTTTTTCTTGTAAATAAAAAAAGATTAAGTAAGACATTTATTTTTAAGGCATGTCTGGGGTGCACAGCTGCCCAAATGGATCAAGGCGCTCGACCTTCCCATCAGCAAGGTGGCAGTGTCCTTCACAGAGACGGACCCGTGCCACACACAAGATGAATGCATGGCCTTAGTCAGGAAACTGCAGGGAGAACACCTCCAGGATGAGAAAGAGCCCGACATAAAATACAAGTGAGACTAGTGGCTTCAGATTATAATGGTTGTTGCTAAGTATTTGTCTAGTTTACAGCAGGGTTTCTTGACAAGGTCCCCCTAATGCCATTGCTATTTTGCCTCAAACCCACTTTAACCCTATATCTGGAGGTGGTCCATTTTGGACCACAAAATATGTAGTTCTCAGTGGCGTTAGGAATTCCAGCCAAGTCATTCATTCAACTTCACACCATCCAACCTCACACAAAATGGCAGCGTTCAACTCATTTATACATAGATTGAAAACCGTCCCAATAAATGAAGATGATTACAACAAAGAACTACAGACTATTAAATTAATAGCAGCTGATAACGGCTACGACCCCACACTGCCCGACAAAATACTATAAAAAAAGAAAAATGTACGTCAAAATGTAAATAGGGAAAAAGGTATGTTACCCTCAGTTACGGTAACCAATTATACCACAAAGTTTCAAACATTTTAAAGAAAATAAACTACAAAATTTCTTACAAGACCACAAACAAACTGGAAAGCATTTTGAACAAAATGCCATAAATAAAAAATAAATATGGAACATGCGGGGTATATAAAATAGTCTGCAACTGCCCAAAATTTTACATTGGACAAACTAGGAGGTCTTTCAAAACACGGCACAATGAACACCTGCCTAAAAACAAAGTAATCAAAACTTCAAACTATGCAGATCATTTAATTAACACCAATCATAATTATTTTACAATAGACGAAAACCTACAAATTCTTCATAGATGCAACGACAGAAGCAAAATAACAGCATTAGAAAATTTTGAAATTTATAAAGCAGCAAAATCCGTTGGCAACATCCTTTTAAATGACAAACTAAATAGCCAGGCCAACGCATTCAATTAAATGTTATGTCTTTTTACGTGTGTTCTGTGTTTTCTATTTTAAGTTTATGACGAACCTGAGAAGAGGGTAAACCTGATGATGTGGCAGTCGCCACGAAACATGTAGTTTGCCTATCAACATAAAACAAGGATATTGTAAGGTAAACAATATTGTTCCTAGAAGTCAAACACACCGTTGATAGAAGACTTACCTTCCCCATGTGTGGTAGCAACCCGACCTAAGCAATCCTTTAATGTTACTGGAGTCAACTATGCTGGACCATGGTTCATACAGTTAAATTGTATGTCCTAAAAAGGCCTATCAAAGTTTTTCTCTGTATATTTGTCTGCTTTGCAACAAAAGCCGTACACTTAGAAATTATGTTGGATTTGGCCTCAGAAGCTTACACAGGAGCTCTTACATGTTTTATTTCCAGACGTGGTTCAGTGAAGGAATTGCATAGCGATTGTGGAACCAACTTTGTCGGAGCAGCTGCTGCACTTCATAAATGTTTTAACAACCTGCTTTGCAATCTAGTAGCTCATCGTTTTGCCAAAGAAAACAACATTTCTTTCAAATTTCTACCTCCACACCCGATTCAAGAACGAGCTGTTAGGAGTGCCAAGTATCACCTTCATCGAGTAATAGGTGGCCAAATCCTGACTTATGAGTAAGTCATAACTCTCGTGTCACGTGTCGAAGCAATATTAAATTCAAGACCGCTTACACCTCTATCTGGAGATCCGAATGATTTAGAGCCTCTAACCCCAGGACACTTCTTAACTGGTAGACCTCTGAAATCCATTGTTGAATGACAATATGAAGAAACTTCTTGTAACCGCTTGTGGAGATGGCAATTAGTTCAGACGTTCTTTCAATACATCTGGACTCGATGGTCACAAGAATATCTGCATACTCTGCAGTATCGTTCCAAGTGGACAAGTAAAACATAGAACCTCAAGATTGGTGACCTTGTTAGGTGATGCATGAGCCTAACTCTCCTCCCTTACAATGGAAACTCGGAAGAATCACCACAATATCTCCAGGAGCAGACGGAATCGTACGAGTGGTCCATCTACAAACCTCTACCTACAGGGAACTTCAGCCAGCCAGCCGTCAAAGTTTCCCTTCTTCCTACCAATTAAATTAAATTAACTCCTAAGCAAGCGCTTTTCGCTGTGGCTACGGTTACGTGTACCCGTAATACCAATAGACAGTACGTGCAGATCCATGACGTCACTGATTGATATTCTTCTTGCTAAGGCCAAGGCTGGGCTGTGTATTTTCCTTCTACCATGAGGCTGTACGAATACGAATAGATTGTTTACTTCAATTACTTGTATGTAATAAAAGAGCGATTTGTTTTATTTGTAGTATAATTTTGTTGAAATAATACCACAAATTACCATTAGAAAACTATTATTACTAAATTACCAAACCATTTTATCATACAGCAGGCTAATATTGTACAATAACTATACATTTCATTTTTCTATTTTATTTCATTACGGCTGGAATAGGGGGGATGGTGATATAGTAAATTTGAATATTGGCCCTACGTACATAAGTTACTGTCCAGATTTTAGATATATTAAAATTGACAGCTTAGAATATGGGTTGCGCTAATTTCACAGGACTAATGTAATCATCCATCCATAAAATAATATACTTGTAAACTACTTGTTCTGTAACAAACTCACTGAGAGCATTTGGCCATTACCATACCATTACCAATCCCAGGAGCATTTGGCCATTACCATTACCAATCCCAGGTATCAATATTTAACGAATGTAATTGTTTCGCCCCTAGTGGTAGGCTTTCACTTATTTAAAATGTCTTCTTATAAATTAGCTATTCTAGAAAGCAGTTAATACAAGAGTAACTGTACTGTAGGATTGTTAACAATACTTCATTACAATTTACAGCTAGGTACCATTACAAGTAAAACGTTCAGAAACATGACTATAAGTATCTGTAACCTTAAGTTATAAACATTTTTTGCTCAAACCCACCTTCGGAGATAGGCCTACCAAATGAGTCTCAATAACGTTATCCTCCTTGTTCATCCCCCGCCCAGTTATATTGTCAGCCTTACATAGTACAATTTCTAGCTTCGGTGGTATGACTCAAAGCTCTATTCCCATCAAATATCTGCTTCTGTACAAAAACAAGAAGTTCCATAGGAATCACCCCTGCAACTATGCGAGGACGGGTAGCTCATTGTGTGTTATGCCTTACAATCCGGAGAGCTTTTCTCCTGTGGACCGCTGCTATCTTTCCTCTGAGTTGTCTTATATTTAAAAAGAATAATGTAGTGGACGTGGACAATGGACATGGACATCAACAACCGTTGCTTTCTGCCAACCGATCCACCAACATTTCTCAACAGGCTGCTCAAATTTACCACGATCATTCGCTAAAATTCCCTAAAAATGGGAAAAAAAATTTAAACCTGAACAGCCAACAATATAAGACAAAGATACAGAAAATGCAATGACACGATTTGTGACAAAGTACGCTAGTGATAAAAAGTTAATGCAAACAACAATGTTTGTGGTGTTGTCAATTGAAAGATAATATATCCATAAAAAATGAAAGATAATATATCCGTAAAAAAGGTTTTAACTTACAAAATAAGACTGTAGATTAGTTAGTTATAAGTTTAATATGAAACAATGAACAGTTTTATGGCAGTAGGCAATGGCCAGGCAAATTGAATCTTCAAGATAAAAGTACAAGTAAGAAGTGAAATTTAACAGTCATTATAAAACTATTATTTCCATGATAAAATAGTTTTGGGATCTAATAATAACTAATCTAGAGGTCCGTGAAGTTGGCGTACCCATATTAGCGTATCCACTTTTGATCATACCAATCGTTAGTTCATCGTTAGATCTCGATAGTTCCCAAATTTTTTCGTTAGTTCTCAAAAAATAAAAAAAGTATAGCCGATTATAAGTGGGTACGCTAACTTCACACTTCCGGGTTCTAGCACGCGCCGTTTTCCGAGGAGAAATGTTTACATCTATATACCAATCGTTAGTTCTTCGTTAGTCCTCGATAGTTCCCAAATTTTTTCGTTAGTTCTCAAAAAATAAAAAAGTTATGAGGCATACAAAGTGGGTACGCTAACTTCACAATTGTACAATTTCCAGCGGGAACCGTTTTTTTACTATAAATGCCTATATCTACATACCAATCGTTAGTTCTTCGTTAGTTCTCGATAGTTCTCCAAAATTAACGTTAGTTCTCAAAAAATAAAAAAGTTACGAAGCATAAAAAGTGGGTACGCCAACTTCACAGTTATAGAATTTCCAGCGGGCACAGTTTTTTTACTATAAATGACTATATCTATATACCAATCGTTAGTTCTTTGTTAGTTCTCGATAGTTCTCCAATATTTACGTTAGTTCTCAAAAAATAAAAAAGTTAAGAGGCATACAAAGTGGGTACGCTAACTTCACAATTGCACAATTTCCAGCGGGAACAGTTTTTTTTACTATAAATGCCTATATCTATATGCCAATCGTTAGTTCTTCGTTAGTTCTCGATAGTTCTCCAAAATTAACGTTAGTTCTCAAAAAATAAAAAAGTTACGAAGCACAAAAAGTGGGTACGCCAACTTCACAGTTATGGAATTTCCAGCGGGCACAGTTTTTTTACTATAAATGCCTATATCTATATACCAATCGTTAGTTCTTCGTTAGTTCTCGATAGTTCTCCAATACTTACGTTGGTTTTAAAAAAATAAAAAAGTTAAGAGGCATACAAAGTGGGTACGCACACTTCACAATTATAGAATTTCCAGCGGGCACAGTTTTTTTACTATAAATACCTATATCTATATACCAATCGTTAGTTCTTCGTTAGTTCTCGATAGTTCTCTAAAATTAACGTTAGTTCTCAAAAAATAAAAAAGTTACGAAGCATAAAAAGTGGGTACGCCAACTTCACAGTTATAGAATTTCCAGCGGGCACAGTTTTTTTACTATAAATGCCTATATCTATATACCATTCGTTAGTTCTTCGTTAGTTCTCGATAGTTCTCCAATATTTACGTTAGTTCTCAAAAAATATAAAAGTTAAGAGGCATACAAAGTGGGTACGCTAACTTCACAACTGTACAATTTCCAGCGGGAACAGTTTTTT